CTTGATCACATGGAGTTCTACTTTTGTTTTTTGATGACTCTACATCACATGTGTCAAACACAAGGCCCGTGGGCCAAATCCGTCCCGCCAGGCCTTGCAATGTGGCCCGCACCGCGCTGTCATCACTGCACTCCGCTGCGTTTCCATCACAATGACAGTTTATGACTGTTCAGTAAACCATTTGGCCAGCGATTTAGGCTGGATTTTAGATTTTGGCCCCTTCTCTGATTGAGTTCGACACCCCTACTCTACATATTATTTTCCATACTGGTTGCATCAACTTACACTCCCATTAGCAGTGTTCAAGGTTCCCTTTTCTCTATATACTCATCAACACTTGGTATTTGTTGACTTTTTGATAATGGCCATTCTGACTGGTGTAAGGTAGTATCTCATTGTAGTTTTTATTTTCACATTCCTGAAGATTAGTGATGTTGAGCATCTTTCATGCCTGCTGGCCATCTGTATGTCTTCTTTGGAGAAATGTCTCTTTCTGTCCTCTGTCCATTTTTTAAATCAGATTTTTTTTTTTATTGAGTTGTATTGAGTTACAACACATTTAACTAGTAAACTGTATATGTCCTTATAAAGAGAAACTACAACTAAGTGTAAAAAATGGACTACACACTTAGAAGTTATGGATCAGTGGTTGAGTGTCAACCCATGAACCAGGAGGCTATGGTTCAATTCCAAGTTAGGGCACATGCCCAGGTTGCAGGTTCAATCCCCAGTGAGAGGCATACAGGAGGCAGCCAACCAATATGTCTCTTTCATCATTGGTTTTTGTATTTTTCCCCTCTACCTTCTTCTCTGAAATAAATAAAAATGTATCTTTTAAAAATGGACAACACAGTGGAAAAAGGTTAACAAAAAAATGTGAGCACATACTTAATCAAATATAATATCCATATGGCCAAATGAAGTATGAAATGGTGAACAATTTCCTTTACATCAAGAAAATGTAAATTAAAACTTGAATGTGATAACACTACACAGAATGGCTAAAATGAAAAGACAATGACCAATTATTGATGAAGATGTTGAGCCTTTAACACTACTGGAAAATGTAATCTGGTACTATCACTTTGGAAAATTGTTGGTTGTATATATTAAAGTTGAACAAAGGCATGCATTATGATCCAGTAGTTTCACTTCTGTCTTCTTTCTTTTGGTCAATTTTTATTTTTTGCCGCTGCTGAGGCAAAACAATAGCTGTAAATAATTTTGGAGAACAGAGGCAATCTGATGGCACCTTGCCTTATGCTCATGCTGTACTCCTTGCCTTGTACTCCAGGGCTCTTCCTGCTGACAGACAATGCTATAGACCCACCCAATACCTATACATGCACAATATCAGATTTGAGGACAACAACCTTCTGTGGCATATATTTAGTGAATAGATGCTAGGAATGAATAAATAAATAATTTCTGTTTCTTCCCACAGCCATACTGTCCTAAGATGGTACATGTATCCTCTCAAAGATGAGATTAATTTTGAGATTGAGCAACATAACCAATTAATTTTGTTTGCTTCAAATAGTGGTCAGCTCAGTAACACATCCTTGTGTTTTGACTTTCCCTTCTGAGATTTAGTTACCTTGGGAATATGCTCCCTAATAAAGTATTATAATAAATCCTTGTGCACTGCTTGTGGGAATGCAAACTGGTGCAGCCACTGTGGAAAACAGAATGGAGTTTCCTTAAAAAACTAAAAATGGACATCGCATTTGACTCAATAATTTAACTTCTAAGATTATATCCCAAGAAACTGGAAACAGCAATGAGAAAGGATATATGTATGTATCTCTATGTTCATAGCAGCACAATTTACCATAGCTAAGATTTGGTAACAGTCTAAGTGCCCATCAGCAGATGAATGGATTAGAAAACAATGTTACATCAACACAATAGAGTACTACGCCACTATAAAAAAGAGAAGGAGCCGAAACTGGTTTGGCCCAGTGGATAGAACGTTGCCTGGGGACTGAAAGATCCCAGGTTCGATTCTGGTCAAGGGCATGTACCTTGGTTGCGGGCACATCCTCAGTAGGGGGTGTGCAAGAGGCAGCTGATCAATGATTCTCTCTCATCGATGTTCCTAACTCTCTATCCCTCTCCCTTCCTCTCTGTGAAAATTCAATAAAATATATTTTTTTAAAGAGAGAAGGAATTTTTACCATTTGCAACAGCATGTATAGACTTGGAGAGCATTGTGTTAAATGAAATAAGCCAGCTAATGTAAGAAAAATACCACATGATCTCACTCATTTATGGAAAATAAAGAAAATTATAATCTGATGAAGAAAAGAAAAAAAAAAAGATAGAGAAAGAGATCCAAGATGGTGGCATAGGTAAACATTTAAACTGCTGCTTGCACAACAATTTCAAAACTACAACTAAAAGACAAAACATCTATCACCCAGAACCACTGGAAAGCTGGCTGAGTGGAAGTTATATTGTACAATAGACGGAAAGAGAAAAGAGCATTCAGTGCACAAGCACTGAAAAACTGAGGTATGGAGGCATGCACAGCATAAGGGCTGGCAGCGGATCCAGCTGGTGGTGGGAGTTGCTTTCTTCAACCCAAAGAGAGACAAGCTCCTGATCTCTGAAATCCAGTTTCTGGGGAGAAGCTGGACTGTCTGCCATCAGGTAGGAAAGTGAGGGTGGCTTGATTGCAGAGCTGTGTGCAAGAATAATAGTTTGCTGTGCTTCTATGTCTCTGGATCTATTTTTGTTCATTAGTTTAAGTTGTTCATTATATTCCTCAAATGAGTGAGATCATGTGATATTTATCTTTCTCTGACTGGCTTATTTCGCTTAGCATTATGCTCTCTAATTCCATCCATGCTGTTGCATATGGTAAGAGTTTTTTTCTTTTCACAGCAGAATAATATTCCATTGTGTAGATGTACCACAGTCTTTTAATCCATTCATCTGCTGATGGCCACTTAGGCTGTTTCAAAATTTTAGCAATTATAAATTGTGCTGCTATGAACATATGGGTACATGTATTCTTTCTGATTAGTGTTTCTGATTTTTTGGGATATATTTCTAGAATTGGAATTACTAGTATTGGGTCAAATGGGAGTTCCATTTTTAATTTTTTGAGGAAACTCCATACTTTTTTCCACAATGGCTGTACCAGTTTGCATTTCCACCTTTTTCTCTGCATCCTCACCAACACTTGTAATAATCCATTTATGATTAAAATACTCAATATAAATGTATAGAAAGAAAGTAACTCAAAATAATAAAGGCCTCATGAATAGCCTGGGAGCAGAATCACACAGTTAAGCTATTTCTAAATTTCTGATACACAGCAACTGTGACAACGTTTTTATTGTTTTTATAATTATAAATTTTGGGTAAATTGTTATGTAGCTATAATACAGACATAAAGGTCTAGAGATCTTGATGAAACAAAAAAAAGTGTGTGTCAAAGAGCTTTAAGGATCATAGTTATGTTTAGGAAAGAGAATGTTTGAGTTTAAATTTTCAGAGGTGAAAGTGATAATAAAATTAAGAGGATAGCTATTATTATGGATGGCTGAGGTGGAGTGGGAGTAAAGTTTAGTAAATGTGAGGATATCATGTGTCCAGAAGAATAGTGATGTTACACAGAGTAGTCAAATTCTATTAGTTAAAAACCCTGATAGAATTCTAGAATGCCAGTGCCAGAAGTGACATAGCATTATAAATCATCTAATCTATCTAACTGGACTTGATTAGTTTCTCAAAGTGTATATCAAAGAAATGCCCACATTAGAAACAACTGAGGAACTCTTTTTGCACAATTCCGTTATATCAGAACAAATGATGTAAAGTAATATGCAGTAATCTACATTTATGAAATTGTCCAGGTGATTCTTTTGTATACTACCTTTCAGCACCTCTGACTTAGTTCAACTCTATTTTATAAGACTTCTCTTGTAAAATCTCTTATAAAACCTTATTTTGATTCTAATACTTTTCATTACACAAATCTGTTTTCTGTGCCCAAAGCAAGTAGTAGTAACTGGTAAATCTATAGCTATAAATTAAACAACATTTAAATAATATCGATATTTTGAATTATTTTTATAAAAAGAAAATAAAAATTCTTTACATGTAATCTGGCTCCTGCTTGACTCTTCTACCCCTCTCCTTCCCTCTAGGTGCTCCCACCTCAGGGTTTCTGCCCAGTTACTCAATTCTCAGCTCAGCTGTCTGTTCCTTGCGGAAGTATTCTCCATTCTCCCAAAGTAAAATAATTCCCACTTCATCCCATTCATCCTCTCTAGTATTTACCGCTATTCACAATGATCGTGTTCCTTTCTTTTTTTGTTTTCTTGATTAAAAAAATTTATAATTAGGCTCTATCAGACCAGAGATTATGTTTGTTTTGTTCATTGCTTCATATGCAGTGCATAGAACAATGACAGACTATGGTGTCTCATGGACAGGAACGACACTCGGAGATTAATTATCTTTAGCTAATTTAAAATTAATTTAAAACAAAATAAAATTATTCAGCTTTTTATTCTCACCACACACTGCAATGTCAGTGATAAAATATTCCCCCATAGAAAACCTTTTTCTTGATCTAAGTTCTAAATAAATTTTATGGTACCTCTGACTTTGTTCTGTACCTTGAACGAGTGCCTGGCATACAGTAGGCGCTTAGTGACATAGTTTTAGAATGTATGAACTTGAAAATCTATTGCAGAGGTAACATTTTCTTTGTGACGACATAGTTATATATTAAGGCAGCCAGGTTTTAGTTTTAAATTCTTATGTAGATAAGTCGCATATATTTGTTACAAGGACAACAATGAAAAGTTCTGCACCAATAAAGTAACTTTTAACTCGATTATGGATTGATCAGTATTACAGTCTCCCATAGGGATAAATGGCTTCTCCTGAAGACAGTGGACCAATTGTGAAGCAGCTTCCCCAAGAAGCTCTAGGGGAGGGGGGAGTGGAGGGGGGGCGGAGAAAGGGCGGGAGGAGGCAGACAAGGGGCGTAACCAGGCGGGGCTGTAGTGAGGAGTTGCTGAGTGGAAGCCTTTTGTCCGACTTCGCTCTCCGTCAGAAAACTTGGGTGTGACAGGGTCACAGATATGGCGGCGGCCGTAAGGGTAAGTTAAAACACACACACACACACACACACACACACACACACACACACACACACACAAACTTGCTTCGTTTCTTTAAGGGTAGAAAGCATTCCGGTTACTATAGAAGAGAGCTCTGTAACTTTAGAAGGGCGCCCACAGCAAGAGGCGGGGTGGAGGTGGGGTTGTGAGAGAATTGGCAAGGTCTGGGTATCTTTTTTATGTTTGAAACCTGAAGACACCCGCCTCTCCTCTTCAGAGGCTCCTCAGCCTGGGAGTACTCTTTCCTGAATGCCCTGCGTTTGACTGTTTATACAGCGGCACAATGCAAAGTGGGGAACTGCTGGGTGAAAATGCCCCGCTGAGCGACAAACAGCGGTAGACTTTTGGCTCTCGATCTGAAACAAAGAGGAAAGAACCCTGGGCATTTGTCCGGGTGCTCGGGATTGGGCCTCCTGACCCTTTGAAGGACTTGGTTAAAACGTTATTTGGGGTGAAATAGACCGGGATAGACATATCTCAAGACTCTGTACTGCGCAGTTCTGTATTACTGTTGTTAACTTCCGAGTTTGAGTAACAAGCCTTTTTCTTTTGAGTTCTGTATGGGAAAAGGTGCTACTTGGAAATCTGTGTACAGGAAGTGACTTGGCTGGCTGCTAGCCTCAGTTCCCTAAGTAGGTTTCAATAACAGTAAGGTAGTTGAGAAATACCTATATTTGATGTGGGTTATTGTTGTTAAATGAACTGCTTTTAGTAGATACAAATATGAAGAATTCACTTCGGTTAGTTTTTAAATTGGTTTAGTAACTGGCTTGATTGGGTATTCTCACTCCATTTCTGCAATTCTGGCTCATAGTTAAATGAGTTATTAGAACACCTTTTTAACTGGACTCACTGTCTCTAGCCTGGCTGTCATGAATCACTTTTTCCTTTCACTGGCAGAGTAGTACTAATACTAAAATGCAAATATGGCCGAAGCCGGTTTTGCTCAGTGGTATAGCGTTGGTCTACGGACTGAAAGGTCCCAGGTTTGATTCCAGTCAAGGGCCCTTACATTGGTTGCGGGCACATCCCCAGTGGGGAGTGTGCAAGGGGCAGCTGGCCGATGTTTCTCTCTCATCGACGTTTCTAGCTCTCTCTCTCTCCCTTCCTCTCTGTAAAAAAATCAATAAAATATATTTTTTTAAAATGCAAATATGATTATGCCCCTCCCCTATTTAAAAACTGTTATTGGCACTCTTATTACCTGCCCTCTGGGGTCAGCTCGGACTCCTATGTCCAAGGACACCCTGCCTTGGCTTAGAGCTTCACGTGTCTCTCAGGAACTCTCTTAGCATCTGTACTCCAGGCCTTTCCCCCTTCTCTTTCTCTGAGCCTGAAGTGCTATTTCCCATCCTCATCTAGATAGTTCCTGTTTATATTTAGTTCATTCACTCATTTAACAGAAATTGTGTACTGCCTCCATGTATGCTAAGTACAAAATGCTTTTTTCTAGATACTGTCCTGAATCTCTCCAGTCTAATTTAAATTTATTTATTGATTGGAGAGAGAAAGAGAGAGAGAATTGTTGTTCCATTTATTTATGCATTTATTGATTGATTCTTGTAGGTGCCCTGACTGAGGATCTAACTCAAAACCTTGGTGTACCTGGACAATGCTCTAACCAACTGAGCCACCCCACCAGGGTCTCAGGTCTAATTTACATAAGTCCTCATTGTGCTCCAAGAAGACCCTGGGCAACTGTTACCTTAGGACAGTGGTTCTCAACCTTTCTAATGCCATGACCCCCAACCATAGAATTATTTTCATTGCTACTTCCTATGGTCTTAAGCGACCCTGCTAGCGGTTCTCAACCTGTGGGTTGAGATGATAGAGCCTAAGACCATCAGAAAACACAGATATTTACATTATGATTCATTAACAGTAGCAAAATTACAGTTAGGAAGTAGCAGTGAAAATAATTTTATGGTTGGGGGTCACCACAACATGAGGAACTATATTAAAGGGTCACGGCATTAGAAAGGTTGAGAACCACTGCTTTAGTGTTTCTTATAAGGTAGGTACACTAACAATCAGTTATTTCAGCTTATATTGATCTAAGTATGTCTTTATTTTGCTTTCATTTTTTAAAAGATACTTTTCCTACATATAGGATTTCTTTATTGAGGTATTTTTTGTGTGTGTGTTTTTTTTTTTTGTTTTCCCTTGCAGCACTTTGAATATGCCTTCTGACTTATTTCTGATTAGGAGTCAGATGTTTATCTTGTTGGGTTTCCTTTTTGTGATGAGTCATTTTTCTCTTGCTGTTCTCAAGATTCTCCCTTTGTCTTTTTTTATGAACATTTTGAGTACAATGTGTCTGGGTTTAGATATCTTTTTTTGCTTCTCTTAAAGTTCATTGAATGTTTTATATTTATAATTTTCATCAAATAAGGAAGTATTTCTTATAGTTCTTGAACATTTTTTCTTTATCTCATCTCTTTTGGATATTCTCATCATACATATTTGTGCACTTAATGCTGACCTATATTTCTCTGAGGCTATGTTAATTTATAGTTCATTTGTTTTTCTCTCTGTTCTTGGGATAACATACTAGTAATCTTATTGATCTATTTTAAAGTTCACTGATTCTTTCTTTTGCCCGCTCAGATCTACTGTTGAGCCACTCTAGTGATTTTTTGTTTTAATCAGCTATTATACTTCTCAATTCCAGAATTCCTTTTTGATTTTTGGATGTATTTTACAAAGTAGTTTCTGTATTATCAGTATTGTTCTCTGTTTTGTGAGGTTACCTCTCCTCCTTTTAAGTCCTTCAAAATGGTTTCGTATAGTTTTCTCAATATATTTAGAATAGCTGCTTTTAAGATTTTCTGTGCTATGTCCATCATCTGAGTTCACTCTAAGACAGTCTCTAGTCCCCTCCCTTCCTTTGAATAGAAAAAGAGTCTATTTCTATTTTTTTCTGTTTCTTTTCAGGTTTTATAGGTTTTGTTGTTGTAAACTGTACATTTTAAGTAATATAGCAACTTGGGTTTCTACCCCCTCAGGCTCGAGGGTGCTTTTTATTGTTGTTGCTTGTTTGCTCATTTATTTGTTTAGTGGCTTTTCTGGACTGACTTTGTGATTTCTATTTCCCTGCCTTTCATCTCCGATATTCCTGCATAGGTACTTTTTCTATTTTTATATTCAAGGCTAGATTCCTAAAGGATGCCCTTTGTGTCAGCACTGCTTAATGATTGACCGGGTTGGTCAGAAGTTTTACTTAAGCACCTCAAACCGCTGAGGGTTTTACTGTTTACCAATTAGCCTGTTTTTGACTTAAAGCTGCTTTCACAATTCGGGGAGTTTAGGAGTTTGCTTTGTATTCAGGCAGGGACTCAAGGCTCAAGATTTTTCTCTCTAGTCACTCTTCAGACAGTGCATCTTTTATGTATGTGTCCAGCATATTGGACCACTGGGGATTATTGTGGTTTTAGCAGGGCTCTTTTTGTCTCTTTCTATGAACTCTTCAATAAAATTCTGGCTCATACCAAATGGTTAATTTCCCCTGATTGCTAGCTTATAGTGCTGCTGTTGTTGATAACAGTGTGTTCCAAATTAAAAGTATAGGCTTTTGCAGCAGTAGGGTGTTGCCAGTCTTTGAGTCTTGTTTTGATTATCCCCTAAGTAGAAGCCCTGCCAAATACACATGGGATAGCTTTTGCACCACTAACCTAGAAAATAGCAGGAAATTTCAATCAGGTTCTATGAGATATCAGGCTGTGTGGGGCAACCAGGCCAGCAAGGGGGTGGGGGGCAGTTAGGGGCCATCAGGCAGGCTCTTTAGCAACTCAGTGATCTGAAGTCAGTGTATATGGTATCTGCAAATTTTCACCAGCCACCAAAAACACCTAGAATACTTTTTTTTTTAAGCTCTGGTATCTGTGGAAGATGGGAGTTAACATTTGGGGGTAGATGGGTAAGGGGTATAACTTGTATGCAACTGCCTCCCACTCTTACCAAGTTCTACATATTTTGCTAAACAAATACATCTCAATTTGTTGTAAACCTTTTGACTCATATTCAGAGAATTTGCTGATTTTACTAGTTTAATAGATGTCTCTCCAAGCTTGTCACACTGCCATTCAAATCCATATGCAAGTTTCCAGTTTGGAGCTGTTAAAATAAAGGTGATGTGAACAATTGTGTACAGGATTTTATGTGGTTATAAGTTTACATTTCACTGGAATAAATGCCCAGAAGTGTGACTGCTGGGTCATATAGTAATTATGTTAAGTTTAAAATTGCATAATAGATTGACCCTTGTATTGATTGCTTATTGCTGATATAACAAATTACTTCAGATTCAATGGTAAAAACAACACAGATTTATTACCTTACTAGAGGCCCAGTGCACAAAATTTGCACACACCCCCCGGGGAGGGAGGGGGTCCCTTCAGCCCAGCCTGCACCCTCGGGGGATACCCAACTGCTGGTTTAGGCCCGATCCTGGAGATTAGGCCTAAACCAGGAGTCAAGACATCCCTCTCACAATCCGGGACCACTGACTGCTAACTGCTCACTTGTCTGCCTGCCTGATCGCCCCTAACTGCCCCCCACCCCCTTGCTGGCCTGGTCGCCCCACACAGCCTGATCAGTTGTCTGTTCAGTTGTGATGGCCGCTTAGGCTTTTATATGTATAGATAGTTCTGGGTGATATAAGTCTAAAAGTAGTTTCACTGGAGTAAAATCAAAGTTTTGTCAGGCCCACATTCCTTCTGGAGATTCTTTGCCTTTTCTAGCTTCTAGAGACCAACTGTGTTTCTTGTCTCATGATCATTTGTTCCATATTGAAACTCAGCAATGGCTGGTTAAGTTTTTCACTTGTCTCCTTATAAGGATAGTCATGTTTACCTTGGGACCTCTGATAATCCATCAGAATCTCTTTATCTCAAAATCCATAATTGAATCACATTTGTAAAGTTTCTTTTTCCATGTTATGGAACATATTCATAGCTTCTGGCATTCAGATTGAGAAATCT